TCAAATCTATATGTATCGAAAAAGTTGACCGACAACAACTCTTTCAAAATAAAAAAAAACATAACACGTTTTTTCGAACTTACGGGAGTCCCTCGGAGGAGGTAACCCACGGTTGCTAACGAGATCTCCCCGGTTTAAATGGGTTTCACAACTCGTTTAAACTAAGTAAGTTCAAAAGAAAATAGTGATGCCGGAAGGAGGGAACCGTGGGATCCTAACCGGTGTCGCTCTAATCAACTTGAACCCCCCATTGAAACCAAAACTGTGAAACATAAACTACAATTTTCAAACACTTAAACCCTGGAGCCATCGCGACGACAGGAGCTTGGAACCAACTTTGTGGGCAGCAGGACGAGGAGCTTGGAGCGAGCAGCAAGAAGATCTTCTTCAGTATCATCTCTTCCTTAGCATAATAACAACCCATAGGACTTCGAGGTAGCTCGCCTAGAGCGACGTAAATCCCCACCCTCTTTTATGCCCCTGAGGTAGCTCGCCTAGCGTGGCGTAAATCCTCACACTCCCTTTTTAGGCTCTTGTACAATCATTTTGTGCAGCATAAGTCCTAACTCGCTTTAGGTTCCGAGGTTATCGTACGATACGATGTAAACCCTCATTTCTCTGTAGGCTATTTGTATAATCGGGTATTATGCAAATGTAAGTCCTAAGTAATAAAATTGGCAGGATTGAACTATTGAACAACATCTTTTCCAAAATATAACCACACAGTAGGATAGTTTGGGAAGTCACTGAGGGTTCTCCTTAGGATCTGTGACATCCCCTACCTTTTCTTTTATTTGGACTCTTGAAATAACTGTTCCTATTTGAGCCACTCTCACTTGCCTTTTTCCACGTCCTACCTTGAAAACATTCTTGAAGACTAGAACCATTGATCATTATCGAGAGTTTTCTCAAGTGACTCCCGTCATTTGGGATGTAATTAACTATAGGGGCTTGCCTCTATAGGGAACTTGGAACCCAGGTAAAATAAGCCCTATTTAATCTTTGTATTAAATAGGGGAACTTGTCGGTCATATATAAAAGGTTCGCAGACTAAACAGATGTCACAAATCTCTTAGTTTACAGGATTGGGTCTATCGCCGAGGTCTACACTTATCTTTCGGGAGGGTGTAATATTCGCGGTATCAGACACAATTATGCAAACTATCAGACTAATGAGATCTATTTGGTCTCATTTTTCAAAAATTAAAACATACTACTTTTAAAACTCAAACTATATATCTTTTATATTTAAATTAAATCTCAAAAATTATTTTCATATATCATATTTTTCAAATAAATCTAATCAATCGAAAAAGTTGACCGACAGGGTGCCGGTACAGGATACATTTACATACATATCACACAATTCTTGTATTTACATATCTAACACCTAAATTTTCACATTTACAAAATAGCAATCAAATTTTTAATATCACATCAAAAATATTAATATTACTAACCTTCTAAAAGTGAAATACACATATTTATGTATAGGTTTAAGGCACTAAAGTGTTATAAATAAAAATATCAAACTTTAGGTGTTTGATATGTAAATACATAAGAATTGTGAGGTATGTATGTAAATTTTCCAAGATTAAAACATAACAAACAAATAGTGGGACACGGCAATAACAAAAAACTTGGGTTCAACAAAGTGCTAAACTTATCCGAGCGATTAAGAAATGCCAAGTTTAGGTTAATGCTCAAACAGACCAAGAAATGACAGGCCTAATTTACTGCCCCATCCAGAACTTGAAAGAGGTAATCTCGTGCAAACAAATCATACCAATTGGTAATTTAGCACATATCAATCAGGCTTTAAGCAAGACAAAATTCTGGACAAAAACATTGTATGATGTAGAATATAAAAGCAGTTATATATAAAAAAGTGAAGGCCTATGTCATTCAAAATCATACTCCAATAGGTTATAAAATGAAGATAAAACAGTTAGAAGTTGAAATATCTACTTCCAGAACTATAAATGAGAAGAAGGAAAAATATAACTTCTCACCACTCCAGTATTTTTTCCAATGTGATTGCTCTTCCGTGAGAATATCAAACAGGGAAGAAGAAGTGAAAAAACTAGCTGCAAAAAGAATAAACTCCAGTCAGTCAATAAATTGATCACTCAATGTCTTAAAAGGGCAGAAACACAATTATTGCAACCTTATCTAAAGTCCTAAACTATTACTATTTGTTTTCATGAACCTTCCTCCATTCAATTCTTGAAAGAGCATGGAATAATAAACTTAAAAAAGAAAGAGATCAAAGGCTTGATTTTTTTCATTATCAGCGCATCTTTTACTGATCTAAGACTATCAATTTATAATAAAACATAAGAATAAATTAGCAATCTTGTGTTAAAAACTATTCGATGCCATTGATTGTCACTTATTTTTCTCTTGCGGTTTCTTTATTCTATATAGAATTATTAACAATCCATCAAACATATATCACAGCTAGCAGCAAAATTGTTTCTTACTCCATTGAGAAGTTTCCGACCATTTGCAGATAGAATGTTGACATACTTAGAAGACATCAGAAACCCCAGAAAGCACATCGTGAAAACCTTCACAATTGGTATAACCGCAAATTTTATCGATGCAAGAACTGATTCTCCACGGCCGCCTTGATTATCCGTAATAATCTCCAAAAGAGATATTTCCCTCATTGTTCCAAGATATCCTATACCTAATAAACAAACAACAGCAGATTCAATCACTCAGTAAGCCATAATATTCTCTTATCAAATTGAAATGAAATTCAAAGGTAAGAATTCAAACCCTCAATACCTGATTGATACAATAAAGCAAAACAAAATGTAAAACAAGCATCCGCACACTGACTCATATATAAATTCGTAGCTAATTGCATACACGATACATCATACAAGTAAAATCAAAGTTGCTAGCATCCGCAGAGACAAAATACGAAATGTAAGCCAAAGACGACCTAAACTCATGAAAATCAAACTCATATCAACGCGAGAATCAGCATCTTCTCCAACGAACTGTGTAACAAAACCAAGATAAGAAACCCAACATGCAATCGATCCATATCTCCAAATTACCTCATCCCAAACTCTCCTCAATCAGCGCAACCCATCCATATCCCCAAAAAAGTAACCCCCCAAAAAAGCCCAGATTGTCCCAAAAAGGAACTATAAAACGGCTTTGTTAGTTTCTACAACCAACCTATCTTCCGCGAACTAGCTCAGGATCCGGTCGCACTGAAAACGAAACTTCAAAGAAGAAAACCTGGATCGGCTTGCAGCGCTCTTCTCAGACGAAAACCATAGATTTCAAGAAGGTAAATTCCTGGAAATGGGAGGAGAGGATCAGCTCTGGTTTAGGAGGCCTTCGCGCTTCCACTGTTGCCGCTTTGAAGCTTTAGTCCACCATGCTGCAATAAATTCAGCTTGTGGAATAACCGTATGGCGCACGTCTGGCCAAAAATAGTCCTCTGAGGACGAAGCGAATTACGATTCTACCATCTAGCGTAGATACCTACCCCTTTTATATATTAAAAATTAAAATTTAGGTGGTGGTTATAGTAAATACATAACAATTGGGTGATAAATGATGTAAATGCCCCCCTTTTTTTGTTTGTATTTTTTATTTTTTTAATTTTTTTTATCTTTTAATATTATTTTTTTAATAAATTGTCAAGGCTATTATACTTAAGTCTCATGTCTCTAGAGGGGTATTCGAACCCCCGACCTGAAGGGTCTTACACCAAGGATGTCAACCAACAGTTCGGGATACACAACACTATTTTATTTTTTTTATTCTTGTTTGCAAATGGTGTGCAATTTGGAGGTAATTGTGGATCTTTTTTTTATTATTTTAATGTTTATGTTTTTGTTTTAAAATATATTTCTCTAATGCATTTTTTCAAATGTTTTATTTTCTTAAAATAAAACTTATTTTGTGTGATTTAATAAATAAAATGGATTGCTTTCTTTATAAAAAGTATATTTTATTTTTAATTAAAATATAAATAAAACAAAAATAAAATAAAATATAGAAAATTATGAAAAAGTGATCTCAAATGTCTTCTTAATGTATTTTGTTATTTACATGTGAATTGGAGTACTCATTCTTCTTTTGAAAGTGTCTTAACATATGATTCATTGATGTAATTTTAATATTTTATACAAATGTGATTCTTATATATTAGAAAATTTTTTAGAAGTAGATAAATAATATCTTAAGTGTTATGGTGTGTTTTAAAATCAAATGTATTTATTTAGTTCTAAAATAATTAATGTATATATAAGTACCAACTTTGATAACCATAAAAAAATTTAATATTTTTGAAGTTAGCAATCTAATAAGATTCAAGTATTAGGAATATCCTCTTATTGAAAGTAGGGGTGACACTACATAAAGGGGACATATACAACATTGCTAGCAAGACTAAGTACTTCATTAAGTACAACCAACATATCTCAAGAGTGGAAATTGGCGTGATCGTAGAATGGTTACCAATATGACACCAACAATTAGGATTCTTCTAATCCTAAAATAACAAAACATGTGATTCTGAAGTAATGGATGAGACAACAATTAAAGGTTAGACATTTCTCATTCTTGATGCAACAATGACACACTCTCGTGCCCTTTCTAAGGTTACAAGAGAGTACTGAGGATGATTAGGATTGTTCTATTTCTAAAGAAATGAAAAAATGAAAGCTCTTCCCATGTATTTAGTTTGGATCCAACCCAATCTCATGCCCCTTCTAAGTATACATCATGAATCTCTCTGATCATGCTTGAATGTCCCTCAGCCGTGCCTAATCCTCATTCACTATTTTCAAATCTGAATTATTAAGTGGGCTAAGTTCTTTATCCCCCTTATGAATCATTACAAAACGACCAATAAAGATGTGCTCGACTAGCATTCAAGACAACATCAAATAGACGAACTAAAGTGGACATGTTTTTCAAGTTTAAACATATTTAACTATACATATGGCCAAGGTAAAACCACCAAATCCAAATGCTTCCTAAATGTTTGCTCTAGATGTACATATAGGACATGATTTAAATTAAGATTAGTTATTAATAACATACGAACAACTTCAAAATACTTATTATTTTGACTAAAGGATCTTCGAGATCTCTTCTTTGTTTAATTTGATGGTCGATGATTAATGATAAATATTAGATTATAAGATTGCATAATGACTTACTTTCAGCCATATTTATCATTGTTGTTAATGTTAATATGACTTGTATTTTGTCATTTGGCTGTCATTAATGAAATATTAAAACTCTCAAAAATATTTTTTAAAAAATATGAATTATTTTTATATGTGAGATAAATTAAAAATAGAAAAGAATATCATTCAATTTTATTGGAAAATATTTTTGATTAATTAACCTCATCAAATATTTATCTAATAATAATTCTTATATAATACACACACATGGTATTTCACATGTCGTTTTAACTTGTGAGGGATTGTTTGATTTGTCTCCATGTGGTGGCGTCTTAATCAAGCAAAAATTTACATGCATACCTTACAAATCTTATGTATTTACATATCTAACCATCAAGGTTCTATGATTACATTACAACACCTTCATGTCATAACCAAATGAATGAAAAGATGTATTTTACTATTAGAAGTATGATGATAATCTTTTTAAGATGATGATGTTAAGGAACAATGATTGATATGCATGCAAATATAAATTTTTACGTGTTAGATATATAAATATTTAAGATTTATGGGGTATAAGTGCAAATATATTATACCTATGTAAAAATAATAATTTTAAATCTAAATTTTGTAACATATCATTAACTTTTTTTTTATAAAGTAGTTGAAGGGTATTAATTGAGATAGTTTTTGGTTAAATTTTAAATTAAAATTTATTTTAAGTAAAATTATTTTATTTTGTTGGGAAAGTTTACATTTAAGCCTCTCTATTCTGAAGGTCTGTTTGGGGGCTGCTGCAACTTAATAAATAATCTAGATAGGTTCGGTGTGAAAACGTTGTTTTCAGCATTTTAAAAACGCATAAGTTGCCAAAACATAGTTTAACAAAACAGTCCAGGTGCGTTTTCAAAATGCCACCGCACCAAATAAGCTGTCCCAAACGGACCCTTAATATATCTAACATCTTAAATATATGGGAGGGCAATTTAGTAATTTACCCCTCCTGAAATATCGATTTTGCTCTCTCAAAATATTATCGTGTCATTTCTTGTCCTGGCCTCTCTCATGTTGGCTGACTTCCACTGTATAAGACCCCTCAGACCGGAGGATTCAAATCCCTTCTGGCACAGTTGACCATAAGGAGTGGTACTCGAATTGTTAGACACATTAAAAGTGGCTGGAGACTCGTATAATAGCCTCCTACCATTTTTTTTTAATATATAAAGATATATAAAGATTGAGTGGATAAATAAAAAAAGTAGATAGAATTTAATTTTGAACTAAACCGTTGTCTTTTGTAATAAATCTCAATAATCCATAGTTTAAACAAATACATGAAATCGTTATATCTATTATCTTGATCATATTTCTTCAAAACTCAAATCATGTTGCAATGAATGTGGGTGCAACTTGAAATCATTCAAGTGGGCGGGCACGTACAATCATGCCACCCAATTCTTATATATTTATCTTATCATTTAAACTTTAATTTTTACATTTATGAGGTACAAATAAAATATATCACCGTTTTAATATAAAAACCTCAAATACATATATATTTTTTTATATACTTAGGTAGGGTGACTTTAAAAATTATAACTTATATGTAATATTGTATGCACAAATATGAGCGCCGCGTTCCCATGTCAATTGGTAGAGCATCCGTTTCAGTGGTGTAAGTTTCATCTGGTATGGGGTTCGAATCACACACTTGACGATTGTTGTCTTAAGAAATGAGTCTTCGAACATTTAGGCACATGGGTCACCCCAAGACCTTAGTGGGGTTGAGCTAATAGAATGGGCTGGAGACCTCACGCCCCGACCCATTCTTCTGGAAAACAAAAAAATAGTAGAAGAAAATTTTCACTTATTTATAAATCGAGCCCACCTGCCAAAGTGGACGAATCAAACCTACCTGTCAAAGTTGCTGAATTGACACTACAAGAAAAATAAGCTTTGGCAATGTAGAAAAGGAGCTATGACAGTGATTTTAACTGCACCTAAAATTTTAGCAGCGGTTTAAAAATAACGACAAACCCACCACCGATACTTAGTGCCACAAAACCTTATAGCAGCGGTTTTAAAACCTCCACTACAAAACCACCACCAATATATATTTCATTCCCGAGACCTCCATTGTTTGGACTTAGCTTGGTATAATTATGACTTGCTCATGTTCGACTTGAGCTTGTGTTGAACTTTTAAATATTATTCAAGATTGATTTGTTTTGCTTTTTCAATATTTGAACTTAATTTGTTTATGACAAGCGAACGAATATTTAAATGAGCAAAAAATTCAAAGAAGTATCTATATTTTTATAATAAAAATTTAATAAATAATTTTATAATTATAATTGCAACTGCTAATTTTTCGACTACGATGTCTAAAATTTTAGAACATTACTAATTAGTTATATAATTCTTATTAATAGGACTACACTAGTTAAATTTTGCAAGTGGAAGAACTAAATTGACCCTAAATGGTAGGGATGAACATTTACTTAATAACATTAATGAGAAAATAATAGCAATTAGATTTTTTGCCCCAGCCTCTCTCTTGTTGGGTCTAAAGGGACTGTTTTCCCTTTTAAAGAAGAGATTGATTCCACTCAGATCGAATGAAGCCCTTTTGCAGGAGAACCAAGACTCCCGAAGAAAGAGCAGATTTCAATCATCAACATAAATCCAGAGATTACTCTCTACATAAGAAGCATGGAGTGCCCTCGGGTGAAGACCAGTCTTAAATTGTTATTGATAATAGTAAAATCTAATGCTCGATAGGTCAAACAAATGGGCTCCCAAAACTAAATGATTCATTTCCGAGATAAGCCTTAATCTCAAATAGGTAAAAAGATCTTCATTCTCCCATTTTTCTTGTGGAAACTCGATTGAAAAGTGGATCAGATGCGAACTAAACATATGTGAAATTTGTTTTTTATAAAATTGAGTGGACATGTCGAAATAGCTGAATTGAGTTCGCTTGCAAAATTATTGGTTGAATCGAGCCCATCTACCAAGTGGCTAAATCGAGCCCACCTTCTGATCTGATTATATTCATCCCTTGCAAAAGTGACAGCCTAATCCACGAGTGCTCGGGCAGCTTTTAGAGGTCATCTTGATTAGTAAGAACATCTGTCAATCTTTTTACCCAAACACTTGGGATAGACATTCTAACAGCAACACCAAACACATACATCACAACCTTTTTATCAAGACACCAAAGAAGGACATCATATAGTACAAGAAATATCACGCCAATTTTGTTATT